AAACAAACCCAGTAGAGGGAACTGTTGGCTTTGGAAAGACTGATCCCACCAAGGCTGCAGGAGAGAACCCGGCTCATCCAGGAGAAAGAAATGCAGAGAAGTGAGCAAGAGGAAGATGGGGTGTGGAGGAGGTTGGGGGCAGGTGTCTGATGGAGGAGTGTGAAGGAAGGTATCTGATTGGAGGAGGCTGGGGACAGGTGTCTGACGAAGGAGGCTGGAAGCAAGTGTCTGATGGAGGAGGCTGGGGGCAGGTGTCTGATGGAGGAGGCTGGGGACAGGTGTCTGACGGAGGAGGCAGGGGCAGGTGTCTTGATGGAGAAGGCTGAGGGCAGGTGTCTAATGAAGGAGGCTGGGGGGGTCAGGTGTCTGATGGAAGAGGCTGGAGCAGGTATCTGATGAAGGAGGCTGGGGGCAGGTGTTTGATGGAGGAGGTTGAGGGCAGGTCTGAGTTATTTGCACAGCGGGTGGTTTGGCTTGGGCCACGCAGCAAAGTTGTGAAAAATGAGCTTACAAAACAATCACAACAACGACAAAATGGCAAGGGCTAGAGACTCCCAAGTTCTCAATAATGAAAGCGGCAAAACCAAGTAAAGGAGAAACACTTTAGAAAACCCCCAAACCACAGTGCAGGCAGGTATTAATCATGCTGCCGGGCAGAGAGAACCCAAGGAGGCGAAGAAAACCAAGCAAACCCCGTCCACAAAGACGGAAGGGGCGGCCCCTGTCCCCCATGTGCCCAGGGCCCCCCTGCCCTCCCCCGCACCCCCGACTTGAATCACTGCCAGGCCGGTGCCAACGCAGCCATCCCCAACCCATGATGTGCATGAACTCAAGGAAGAAAGTTTTCAGGCTGCAGGGGCTACTGGACCCAAAGCAGCTTCGCCGAGGACAGGAACACACGGTCCAGCCCGGGCACAGCAGCGTTCCGCAAGCTCATGTCAAACCCATTTCATTAGTGGAGGTGGAGGAGCGGCGCCAGTTGACAGCATCCAGGGTCTTGGGGACTACCTAGGGTCAGCGCTGCCCGCTCTCCATGGACGAGCCTCACAGGGAGTCCCAGCCTGCCCCCAGCAGGAGAGCAGGTGACTGTAGGATAACATTGGTTTGTCCTTCCTGCCTTGCCACAGGGAACTTAGGTTTAATGGGTTACTCCCATCACAGTGCTCCCATTTCTTTGTGTTTATCTGTAATCTCTTTGTGCTCTGCTTCCCCAACCGGCTAATCACCTTTATCTCCTAATCAGACTCTGTTAACTTGTAAATATTGCTTTTCTCTTCTCCTTATGTCCTTTGCATGGTAATTCACAGTAATGTACTTTTTATATAGACACAGGAAGACAGTTAATGCGATGCTTTTGTAACTTGGGAGTTAACTGACTCCGAATGATATTCACTCCTGGGCATCGATTTTCTCAACTTAAGCCTCAGTTGCCCTTAGTTCCTAGCACCCCAAAAGCAGGGTCCCAACGAGGGACTGGATGACCCAGGGCAAGCTGTGAGCTACCCTGGCATTGACATGGGCCTGACCAAAGTGCCATAATACTTAACTATAAATTAAGAGCGTGGTCATGGGCAAACGCTATCATGATCCAAAAAGTAACAGCTGGATTAGGACCCTGCTGGGGTTAGGAAAGATTAATCTGGCCTGAGCACTATAGTCGGAGATCTACAGTGAGATGCCCCCAGGAGAGCCATCCTATAAGCTTAATGTAACTCTTACTGTGTCTTACAAAAAGGACAATGCTCTGAATTAACTATGCAAAGGACTTAAGGAGAAGAGAAAAGCAGTATTTACAAGTTAATAGAGTCTGATTAGGAGATAAAGGCGATTGAAGAAGCAGAGCATGAAGACAGAAGCTACAGTTAAACACAGAGGAATGGGAGCACTGTGATAGGAGTAACCCAATAAACTTAAGCTCCCTGTGGCAAGGCAGAAAGGACAAACCGATAATATCCTACAGGTGACACCCTGTTTGAGAACACTCAGTGGGTGAGCAGGTGACACCTGTTTGAGAACACGAGGCTTCCTTTAGCTCCTGGACTGCTGGCAGACTCAGAATCTGACCTTCAGGACTGCCACCCCAGCCCACCCCATGTCCCCACAGGCCCAGCGCCTCGGACAAGCAAGAACCCAAACCCATGACGGCTTCCAAAGGCTTCTGATCACACAGACTCCGCAGGGGACAGCATTGGTGACACCAGTCACCCGGGGTCACCACTGGCCGAGCCATGGCAGGGACACGATGAAGCAGAACATGGCTCTGGACAGACTGCCCTCCCCCCAGCTCCTCCTTCCAGAAGCTTCCCTGTCACGCAGGGAGATGCTGCACAGGACCAGACCTGCATCGGCAGCTCCCCATGAGATTTCCATGACCAGAAGTGAGAGTGTCCCCTGTTCCTGAAGTCTCAAGGTCAGCCCAGATCACGGTGGGGATCAGGGAAGGAGGAGAAGTCCCCCGGGAGTTGGCGGGAACAAGCGGTCACTCGGGGGGGACTCCGAGCTGAGGCTCCTGAGGGGGCCGAGCCTAGGCACTCCCTGTCCCATCCCACCATCCCAGACCCGTCCCTGCCGGCCCACCGTCCCTCCTCAGCCCTGCTTCACACCCACGTGGGGGTCCCAACGTCTTGGGTGGGTCAGCTTGGAGCAGGGCAGAGGCGTGAGGGTGCCAGCCCCAGCCACCCTAACTCCTATCCAGGAGCTGCTCCACCCTGACTCAGCCTCTGCCAACAATCACGCCATCCAGTCCTCAGTTTCCCTTTCTGAGCACACCAGCTCAGCCCTGGCAGACACCCAGACAGCAGCTGTTTGCTACCCCAGGGTCTGCACCCAGTTCTGCCAGGAGTCAGGGTGCCCGAAGTCAGGGCTGAGGGAGTCCGTGAGCATGAGCGTTCTATTCACAGGGTGCAGACATCATCCCAGCCCGGGAACAGAAATCACCAACGGGTGAATTGTTTCCAAAGGCTCTGGCCTGGGCCCAAGCGACAGGACAGTGGGTTAGGGCACTTGCCTTGCATGTCGTCTAATCCCCATGCAGTGCAGCCCCGCCCCCACTGCTGTCCAATCCCATGCAGTGTAGCCCCACCCACACTGCTGTCCAATCCCCATGCAGTATAGCCCTGCCCACACTGCTGTCCAATCCCCATGCAGTGCAGCCCCGCCCACACTGCTGTCCAATCCCTGTGCAGTGTAGCCCCGCCCACACTGCTGTCCAATCCCCATGCAGTATAGCCCTGCCCACACTGCTGTCCAATCCCCATGCAGTGTAGCCCCACCCACACTGCTGTCCAATCCCCGTGCAGTGTAGCCCCGCCCACACTGCTGTCCAATCCCATGTAGTGTAGTCCCACCCACACTGCTGTCCAATCCCCATGCAGTGTAGCCCCGCCCACACTGCTGTCCAATCCCATGTAGTGTAGCCTCACCCACACTGCTGTCCAATCCCTGTGCAGTGTAGCCCCTCCCACACTGCTGTCCAATCCCCATGCAGTGTAGCCCCGCCCACACTGCTGCCTAATCCCCATGCAGTATAGCCCTGCCCACACTGCTGTCCAATCCCCATGCAGTGTAGCCCCACCCACACTGCTGTCCAATCCCCATGCAGTGTAGCCCCACCCACACTGCTGTCCAATCTCCATGCAGTGTAGCCCCGCCCACACTGCTGTCCAATCCCCATGCAGTGTAGCCCCACCCACACTGCTGTCCAATCCCCATGCAGTGTAGCCCTGCCCACAATGCTTCCTAATCCCATGCAGTATAGCCCTGCCCAGCGAGGCTTGGGGCGTCCTCTCCAGCCCCCATCCCAAGGCTATGTATCAACAACCTCCCCAGAGCAGCGGGTGTGCCTGAGGGCCCCTGAATGAACAAACAGCATCTGTCCCTAACTGGGCCAGGGCCTCCTCTTGGCTGAGTGACCACATGGACGCGCTCCTGGAATTCTGAAAAGGGTCAGTTCCAAGCCTAGCTCCCCGCAGGCTTCCCGGGGGTGCAGTTGTGCAAGAACAGACAGTGCTTTCCCGCACGTCTCCCAGGGTCCAAAGACCATCCTGGATGCGGAGACTGAACCCCAGGCACGCAGGGGGGCGGGGGGGACGACAAGATGAGGCAGTCTGCAGAAACCCGGAATCACGAGGCATCGTGCTAAGGAAAAGGAGCCAGAGGGGGGAGGTCAACACAGCAGGATGACCGCACTCGTCCGCTGGACAGAGACCAACTGGTCACAAGCCTCAGATACTGGAACACAGACCCGGTGGCGCCAGACTGGGGAGGCGGGATGGGGGTGGGGGGCTGGAGAGGAGGGGGCTCGGGAGGGGAGGGGAGAGGGGAGCAGAGAGCTAGACTGGGAGTAACGCGGGAACTTGCGTGGCGGGTCTGAATCCCACGGCAGTGCTCAGGGAGGTAAGACAGGCACCATCCACAAGTGGCGGTTGGGGGGAAGGCGGGCCGGAGGGGCCAGGGCCAGGGCCAGGGCCGGAGGAGGATGGGCTCCCAGCAACTCTCTCCATCAACGCCAGCCGCCCAAGCACTGTCGCTGTCATAGGAACGTTTTAACAAAGTAACCAAGCCCACGGGGAAGCAGCCAACCCTGACCCCATCTGCAGCCTCCCCAGCTTTCTTTCTATTTATTTTTTCCAGTCTAGAGGCGCAGCTCCCAGGCAGTGCTCGGGGACCAGTCGGCACCTCGTGCAGAGGAAACCCGCGCTCCAGCCCTCGGGACCAGCTCCCTGGCCGGCCCCGACCTTCCTGGACTGCAGGGCCCGCTGATCATCGCTGCCCAGGCTGCATCACCTCCACGTCAGGGCAAACCAGCGCCCTTCCCCCACCACTCCACCCCCACCAGCTATGAGCTCTGCAGGGGGTGACTCTTCCAGAAGTGCCCGATTCAGAGCTAGCGGGTCCCAATCCCCAATCCGCGCTGGGGGAGCACTCGGGGCTCCCACAGGCACGAGGAGGACGTACGCCCACGTGCCTCTCGGCACTCGCTCCCCGGGGCTGGGTCTTACCAGCCTGCGCCGCCGTGATGAGCGCCGTGTTGCCCTCGCTGTCCTGCCAGTTCACATCGACGTGGGGGCACTCTGCCAGGGCCACCACCGCGTCCACGAAGCCGTGTGAGCAGGCGACGATGAGGCCGGTCTGCAAAGGAAGGGGGGCTGATGAGAGACGGGCGGCCCTGCGTCCCGGCTCTCAGCGACGGTTTAGAGACATTCGTTTCTGGGGCTGGAGCCGTAAGTTGGTGGTGCCCAGGGCTCACTCCCTGCTCTGTGCTCAGAGTTTGCTCCTGGCTCTGTGCTCAGGGCTCGCTCCCGGCTCTGCTCGGGGCTCACTCCCGGCTCTGTGCTCAGGGCTGATTCCCAGCTCTGTGCTCGGGGCTCACTCCCGGCTCATGCTCAGGGCTCGTTCCCGGCTCTGTGCTCGGGACTCGCTCCCAGCTCTGTGCTCAGGGTCACTCCTGGCTCTGTGCTCGGGGTCACTCCTGGCTCTGTGCTCAGGGCCACTCCTGGCTCTGTGCTCAGGGCTCGCTCCCGGCTCTGCTCGGGGCTCACTCCCGGCTCTGTGCTCAGGGCTGATTCCCAGCTCTGTGCTCGGGGCTCACTCCCAGCTCTGTGCTCAGGGTCACTCCTGGCTCTGTGCTCAGGGTCACTCCTGGCTCTGTGCTCAGGGTCACTCCTGGCTCTGTGCTCAGGGCCACTCCTGGCTCTGTGCTCAGGGTCACTCCTGGCTCTGTGCTCAGGGTCACTCCTGGCTCTGTGCTCAGGGCCACTCCTGGCTCTGTGCTCAGGGTCACTCCTGGCTCTGTGCTCAGGGCCACTCCTGGCTCTGTGCTCGGGGTCACTCCTGGCTCTGTGCTCAGGGCCACTCCTGGAGATGCCAGGGGTCCATCCGTGGTGCCGGCTTAGCGTCTGTGCCCCTGAATGATCTCTCCAGCAAACCTGGGCTTTGCGCCACCTGCATTAGTGACTCCGGCTTACTCCAAAGTCATCACAAACAGATGCCTTGAAATCAAGCCCTGAGAGGCCCAGGGTCCTGCACCTCCACCCCCAAGACCTGTCCCTTTGGAACCTGAGGTCAACCCCAAGGGTGTGACACTCAGCTGGGCCTGAGGAACAAACCTCCCCCCCCCACCCTCCACTGGCTGTGTTTCCCTCACCCTCAATCTCCTCACGAACAAAGGCGGAAGGCTGCAACATCCTGCCCCTCACATGCATTAAGCAGAGCCTCATCCACACACACACAGGGCAGGCCTGGGAAGGTTTGCAGGGCTCGAGGCACTTGCCGTGTACACAACAGACCTGAGTTTAATCCCCCAGCTTTGCCAGGATCGAGCCCTGAGCACAGAGCTGGGAGTGAGCTCTGAGCACAGAGCTGGGAGCGACCCCTGAGCACAGAGCACAGAGCAAGCCCTGAGCACTGCCATGTGTGGCCCATCTTCCGCCCACAAACACACAGAATTTTTTTAAGAGGAAAGAAAGTGTTTCAGAGAGCAAATGAACAAGACACACTCTCACATCAACAGAGTCAAACACAAACACTTGTACTCTCACACACTCATACTTACACACACACTCACCAACTCACACTCACACACATCATTCACACACACTCATATACATTGAGTCGCACTGAACAGGCCATGTCACAGAGGCAACTGAAGAAGCCACTCACACACACACTAATGCTCACAACTTACACACAGACTCACACACCCATTCACACATTCACACACTCACATTCACACACACTCACGCTGACAGTTAAGCACACTCACTCATATATACACTCATACTCTCACACTTGTACTCTCTCACACACACACTCACAGCCACACATTCACAAACACACACACTCACTCAACACACTCACACACACACACTCACACACTCACACACACTGAACAGGCTGTATTGCCTTCTGTCCCTGAGTGGCAGGAGCTCTGAGCTGCCATCCCCGGGCACCCCCAGCTGTGCAGGGGGGACACTCATGCCCCTGTGCCCGTCCCACACTCACTGGGGGGACTGCACCTCCCACCTGAAGGTGCGCGGAGGAAGCGCGTTTGGAAAGGGACGCGGTCAGGAGTGTGGGGTCCTCAGGAACGGGATTGGTGCCCACGAATGAGCCCAGGATGACAGACTCGCAGGGGCTGAGCCCAGCTTGAACCTGGCACTACAAACTGTCGCTCCTGTGCAGGAAGGAATAATCCCTGGACACAGGCAGTGAGACCCCACACGACCCCATAAAGAAACCCCAAGAGTCCCCTCCTTCTCCCAGTGAGAGCACAGCGAGAACCCATGTTGGCACCCCGTGCCCCAGAGCCAGATGTTGCTACAGCCGGTCAGCCTCCTTCTCGTCAGCATGTCCTTCACACGGCCTCAGTGAAAACACTGTGTCACACCGGGGAAAAAATCCATCTCTTTTGCAAACACTGAGCGGATACATGAAGGTTCCAACTCGAATAGGAGCTGGAGAAGCAGAATAAATGCTGACGACACTCGCTTGCCCAGACAACCCCCACTTGGTGGAGGGGGGCAACGCTGGGGCTTGGAAACCTCCTCTGGGCTTGTGGGGAGTGAGTGCGTCCTCAGCAGTTTCCCCGGGACCGGGGAGGGAGTGAGGAGCCCGTCAGTGACACACAGGCTCCCAGCAGGCCTGGCAAAAGAGTACCACTGTAGCGCTGTCCTCCTGTTGTTCATCAATTTGCTCGAGTGGGCACCAGTAACATCTCCATCATGAGCTTGTTGTTACTGTTTTTGGCATATTGAATATACCACGGGGAGCTTGCCAGGCTCTCCGAGAGGAATGGAGGAATCGAACCGGGGTCAAACGTGTACAAGACAAACACCCTACCTGAAAAAGAGTAACTCACAAATATTCAAATTGTGGAAACTCTAGAGAACAACCCAGACTGGTTGGCGTCCTTCCTACAGCAAAATCAGCTCTCTCAGAGAACAAAATGGAATGCCCTGCCACAGAGGCAGGGTGGGATGGGGGGATGGGGGGTGGGAGGGATACTGGGACCCGTGGCGGTGGAAGATGGGCACTGGTGGAGGGATGGGTATTTGATCACTGTATAATTGAAATCCAAGCACAAAAATTTGTAAGTCTACAACTGTAACTCATGGTGTTTCACTAATAAAAAGTTTAAAAAAATAATTATTTGTCATTGTTAGTAAAAAAGTAAAGGCCCTCCCGTTGATCGTCGATTTGCTCGAGCGGGCTCAGTAACGTCTCCATTGGAGACTTTGTTGTTACTGTGTCTGGCATATCGAATACTCTCGGTAGCTTGCCGGGCTCTCCGAGAGGGGCGGAGGAATCGAACTCGGGTCGGCCATGTTGGCTGCGTGCAAGGCAAACGCCCTACCGCTGTGCTACCGCTCAGCTCTCTCATCTCCTGAATGCAAGTCAAAGCTACCATCAGCGTCTTCCAGCTTGGGCCAGCTTTGAAACAGGCTGCTGGGTGTGCCGAAGGAGCCGTCTCTAATCGCTTCCCTCTGAAGAGAAAGAGCTCAGACTGCAGCCAGGCCTGCGGGCTCTCTGGGACGGGGTTCCAGCTCACTCGTCAACACCAATGGTCCGGAAAATGTGTGATTCCACCTGCTAAGCTCCAAAGGCACCTGCAGCATCTCTGCATGGAAACAGTTTTCAAATGATCTGCAACTTCCTGACTTGCAAGGAAGGCCAGTTAAACACCACGGAGACACTTCCTTTTTTATGTAACTGCCAGAGTTCATTTTTAATACGGGGGGGGGGGGGGGGGGAAGAAAGCCATGACTAGAGAGGGAAAAATTTCCAGCCCAGACAGAACCGTGGTTTTTTAAGAAAGCCTTAAACAAAGACCTCATTCCTTGCAGAAATGAGATGTAACATCAGAATTCTAAAAATGTCCTGGGTTATATCAGCAGAGTAAAGTGATGGGTGTGGGGCACTCATCCTCACCAACTGTGTGACGGGAGCGAGAGCCCAGTGGGGAGGGCACTGGCCTTGCACACGGCAGTCCCGGGTTCAATCCCTGTCATCCCAGACGGTCCCCAAGCACCTCCAGGAATAATTCCTTAGCTCAGAGCCAGGAGGGACTCCTAAGCATTGCTGGGTGTGCCCACCCCCAAAAACAAGTGCCCAACACACGAACAATTCTCTCTACACCAAAAATAGAATTATCTGCTATCTATTTGGGTCAGAAATATATTATAGCTTTTTACATCAATGAACATACGTCTCTGCCAAAATTTCCAGTACTGTGGGGTATCCTAGTCCACAGAAGGGCAGAATCCTTTTCTCTGCAGAGTACTTCTGTTTGTTTTTATTTATATGTTTGTTTTGTTTATCTACCTATTTTTGCTTTTTGGGTCACAGCCAGCGATACACAGGGGCTACTCCTGGCTCATGCACTCAGGAATTACTCCTGGCGGTGCTCAGGGGACCCTACCAGATGCTGGAAATCGAACTCGGGTCGGCTGCATTCGAGGCAAACACCCTCCCTGCTGTGCAATGGCTGCAGCCCTGGAAAGTCCTTCTGCTGGGGACTGACAACCACTCCTGTTTCTCCTGTCGTGAGTAAAATCTGCAAGCCAAGGAAGACTCTGTTCATGCCTATGAGTTATGACCACCTCTGTGTGTGTGTGTGTGTGTGTGTGTGTGTGTGTGTGTGTGTATGTGTGTGTGTGTTCCTCCCTGAGATGTGGCACTTCTGGATGAAAGGCAAGCGATGTCTGGGCAGCCCCGACAGCTTGAACACAGGCTGCAAACTTGTTCTCTGGATTGTCCCATTTCCCCAGAGGACCCCGCGCTCAGGGAAACCGTTCCAAAGGACAGCTAATGGCTGGTGTTCTCAAGAGGGCGCCTGGCTGCTGTCCGCCAGCCTCCCTCCCTCCTCTGCCACCACTAAAGGGAACTCTTCTGGAAACAGAGCCCCCCCCCCCCCCCATGGCCACCTCAGGTCAGACCCCTGCGGCACGGCACCGCTGGGGCCCTAGACGTAACTGAGGTCACACATGCCGGTGAGAGCAGAAGAGTTAAAGGGGAGGGCGCATGGTCCTGAGGGCTGTGGAGATGGTCTAGACAGACAGAGGATGGGCTCTGCACCCAGGAGCCCCGAGTTCGATCCCCAGTGGCGCATGGTCTCCCGAGCATAGCCGGGA